TATCAGAGGCCTAAGTTTTACAGATAAGAAATATACTACAACAATAACAAAAAATACTCTGAAAATTGTTACCAATATAAAAAAACAAATCTATTGAGATACATGAAATGAAAACCCCTTCAGTGTTTTTAAACACGATGAAAATGAGACAATCGCCATTATGAAACTCCTGGAGTATCTACAGTTATGGGCTCCCTCATTCAACATAAGGCACAGTGTGGGTGAGCTTTTAAAAATATTGAATAAGCGGCTTTCCGATACACTTCCGACAGATCCACGAACCCTTCTTAAAACAACGCAGACAGTTTCACTAAATCCGGTTGGAGATGGTCAGTATTTGCATCACGGCTTCACACCTTGTATTGTAAAAGCTTTTAAAAGATCCAATAAGCATTTCTTACATCTTGATTACAAGAGAAAATAAGAGGATCGCTTGGAATGTTGAATTTTTGACAGGTTGCCATGGTTTTTGTTTTGTTTTGATTCGCTGTACCGAATAAAACCAGCAAGCTATTATAGAGCTTAGATATAACTTAACGTTCTCAATTCGGACTACGAAATGCTAAGATACAACCATTAGGTTTATGTTATGCTATAGAATTCCATTCTCCTAGATTGATGTTATATTGAGGTATTTTTAAGGAGCAGCAAGTTATAACGAAAAAGATGTCGCCGTATGAACAAATTTAACACAGTATGAATAATTACGCTTTAATTGATAGGCGATAAAACACTTTCACACATCTATGTAAAATTAAATAATAAATGACTGGTTATTGCTCAACAGTAGTAACAGTTTTGTACTAAATAGATAATCTTTTAATGACTCTTTAATGCATGGTGCAAATGCAGACAAATTAAAAATATCCCTATTTTTTAGTATTTATATGGCGCACTGAATTTATGCTCCTATTTGGTATAATAATCACCAAAAATATTGCACGGCATGCTGTGAAGCATATACAGATTGGTTTAAAATTGTAATAAAGTCGTTTTATTTTCAATATACAATAATATCAGGTATTATTACCAACTGACAAGGATCATGATTCCACATCAAACATCGAAAGAATAAAACCACAATAAAATATTTCTCAATATTAACTATCATCCAAAAATCCCAACTTAAAACCTTCAAGGTTGTCAAAATGTTTTGCGTATCATGTTTTATCAACTTCTTCAGGAGCGATTTATGCGGTTGTAATATAGTTTTATGGTAGTCATCAAAAGGTTGTTAAAACTTTCTGACCTGGAAGAGGTTTTATGTTTGCATTTTTGACAACCACGTGTAGAGTGTGATAAAACTAACATAAAACCTTTGCTCCTAAGGTAGTTCGCATATCAAGTTATAATGAATGCATTAAAACTGGGCCAATTGGCCATGACATGGCTGTATAGCGGTTCTCAGGAGGTTGTTAAAGCAATGTGGTCGTCAGTGAAGGTTTTATAATTTGGTTGTATCAACTGCTATAGAACTTCAATAAAACAAAAATTTTTGCTTGGGAAGGGAACCCCCCCCCCCAAACCCAGCATATAATAATGTTTGATTAATGAAATGTATTCAAAAAATGGTTGTTTAGAGAGAACAATCTTCAACTGGAACGTACTCACCAAATCAATATATCCGGGAGCGCATTCCCGATGCTTAATTTTCTCTAGTCATTTTTAAACAATCCAGAGAATCCAACCACACAATATCTAAATATCACTTTTCATCTTCATCCAACATAGGGAGCGAGAACACACAAGGCATCTAAGCAACAGAGGGGAAAACATCAGCACAAATCATTCTAAATCGAATTATCGCGTCCGGGACACAAAACTATTCAAATGCGAGCACCGAAAAACTACACGGCAGCACAAAGATAACCAGAGCACAAAAAAAAAGCACGCGGAGCAAAAACACAACCGTTCTCGAACGCTTTTCAAAGCGCACTGCGGATTGGCCAAACACTAGTCTACAGAAACTACATTTATTCACAATTACTACACAATTTACTTTTCCCAAACAAACTTAAGCTAACAATTTCTATATTCATCCCCGATGGGATATCCAACCGTCCTATCCGGTGACTGAAACCAACTGACGAGATTGTGCCTACGGTATGCCGAAAATGTGCCGATGGATGCGCTCAAGCTGTGTAGAATATAATTCCGGCACAATGTGCTGAGTGGCTGAAAGGCTAGATTTCTGTTCCGCCTTTGAGGGCATTATAAAACACTAAAACACAGTACTTGTATTACCCTATGAATCACAAAACACCGAAAGTTCACTTCCCGCATCATCCTCAATCCGATTTATCCTTGCAATTTCAAACCAAAACATTCAAGGTGTCAGAAATACCGGGTTGCCGGGATGGGTATTTTACAAACAATCGCAGCTTGCTCAACACGGAACCGAAACATTACCCAAAATTAAGTTCTTTTCACTCATCTCCCATCTTCCGTTCAATAAGCTAATTTTCAGTAAACCACTTATAGTATAGAATATCTCATATACTCACTAGTAGCTTATCGAACGATAGTCATAAGAAAGTCGAATCTCTCGTTCCGTTTTTGACAACAACAAAAAGTGAGAGTGGGATGCAAAACTCAAAATTAAGTAAAAAGAACTTAAATTTAGGGTATTTTTTTTTTCTTTGTGTATTACCGGCACAATCGGCATACTTGCGGCACACTGACAAAAAAGATGACCCAAGATTGGTGTGCGGAGTGACCTAATCCTTTGGTAATAGGGTTGGGTTTGCAGCAGGGGTCGTTCAGGTAAACGATAAGCTGAATTGATGTCCTAACAATCATATAACGCGAAGGAGCTTGGGATTGAACCCACGGTCTTCTGCTCAATAAGCAAAAACGTTTGCCACTAGGTAGACGAGCTCCTTTTTAATCATCGAGTTGCTGTTATTACCATGTAGTCATGTTAACAAATAAAACGATTGACATAACATGTGGATGGGCTTCAGATTAGACTCATGATGTTCTGCTCAGTAAGCAAAACCGGTTGCTCTAAGGCCACCGAGCCCCCCCCCCCCATCACATTATAGCGTTACTCAAGTTTTTATAACTATTCAAACCCGGCACCGACGACAACGAAAAGTTTTACAAAATAAACAATAAACAAGCGATCTTACCATACATTTTTAATATGAAAGGATCTTATTCTTCTTCTTCGCATTTCAAGCTTATTGCATATCGCATATTAGCTTATTGCGTGCTCTCAACTTAGTGTTCTAGACATGCTTGGCATACACAGTTGTACACGCCAATTGCTCATTTGTTAATAACTTTTCACTCAGTTGTTGAAATTTGTTTTTCTTTAAAGTAATTGATAGATTAGGATCATAGCTTACTATAGATATGCAAAAAGTAGATGAATCTTAACATTTGAATCAACAAAAATGAATTTTTACTCTTAAAGTTCGAGATGTGCAGCGAGCATTTCTCACTTCATATTTACAACGCAAAAACAAATACAGTTTATTCCTAGAATTAAAATCTACTTTATTTTATGTATCTATAACAAGCTTAAATTCTATTATATTTACTGCTTCAAAAAGAACTATGTTTCGTCAACTCTGTGTAAAGTTATTAGCAAATGAGCAGTTCGTGACCAAAACTGTGTATGCCAACCATGGTTCTAGATGCACTTCCACAGTTATTGATTGAGAGCTTTCGATGCCTGTACCATTTTTGCATTGGTATAATTGTGTGGCAAGTCCAATCATACTTCTATGCCCAGGGAAGTCGAGAAATTTTCCAACCCGAAAAATTCCTAGACCGCACCGGGAATTGAGCCCAGCCACCTCAGCATGGTCTTGCCTTGTAGCTGCGCCTTTACCGACTGAGCTAAGGGAGGCCCTGAAAGGACCTGGAACCGCGTTTTTCTGCTCAGTAAGCAAGCCACTGGAACCGACGATCTTTGAAATCCTAAAACTAAAAGCTGCGAAAGAGTACTTAAGGCCTTCATTAAGATCCACTTTCACGTAACGTTCAACGTTTCGATTTTCTCTTTACGCATGGTTCAGGTAATCATAACAAGCTATGACCGACGTGACGATTGTTTAAGACCTGGTTAAATAAGCTATTCAAATGAAATTACGTTCTCGAATTTCACTTGGCATGTAATGAACAACGGAAATACGCGATAATTCATATTTTCAGCGGTTGATGATTAATTTTAAATAAACTAACGGTACTGCCTACGGCGACTACGACGGACATTACGACAGCGACTACGACGGCGCCTACGACAACGACAACAGCGAATTTGTAACTTACCATTTGTCTAGGATATAACACCTTTGCCCGGCACCTCCACTGGTTCTCCATGTCCGCTATCTGTCACTGTTTGCAAAAATATCTAATAGCAATTACCTTTGTTGTAATACTTCCTGCATTGCCATGGTCATCTGGGAGGAGGGTCGCATCTAGTGCCGCCCGTCCAGTCTTGGGCGTATCCAGTGAGGCATCCTTAAGCTTTCTCACAATCTCCGACACTCAATGCAAATATCAGGCACACTTAAGCTAGTTACAAAAAAACACCCGTGCAAAGAAACGAATCCAATAAACGTCACTCTCGCGAAAGCACACCCGTCGTCGTCTAACGGCAAAAAAAGGAATCGGTGGGCAATTTTGGGATACGGATTTCCACAATCAACCGGGAATGCACGAATTTCACCACACCCAACTGCGAAACACGTTCAGAAGCACTTTTGGTACACTTTCGTTCGTGAACCAACATCATCTACGCGTAAATAAACTAAAATTAAAATTATCACTCGCGATGCCACAAATTTCTGGTCCGGGAGCCCCCAAACATGATCTCGATTGTGGGACCGAAACTCGTACACCCGAAGAATGACACGGAATCCATCCACAAAATATTCAGCTCGACAAGCTCTTTCCACACACTTTTAACAAAATCAATTTCGAAAATTAACATGCGAGTATCGATATTTATTAAGTTTCATATCTAATTATATTCTATTTAACCAATGTAGTCAACTGCTACTACAATACATCGATGTAATACGTTTTATGTCTTTGTTGGAAAATCCATCCCGCTGTCCGATTCTCCCGGAATATTTAACCTAAAAATGATAAAATTCATTCTCCATATCCTATACCATACCGTACAAGTGCTTAGACTTACCTTGGGTTCAACCGTATGGAATCCATTCCAGCTGAACGCTTTCTGCGAATAGTGCATAACACTTCCCAGGTCGTATCCGATCCCGTAAGTTCTCGTTCCGTCTTTGGATTCTTTCCAAAAGTTGCCAATCGCATCGAAGCGCACATTCAGATAGTTGATATCTACGAACTGATCCCTATCGTACCGGGTGTGCTCGTGTAAGAACCCAATCACGTGCATCAGTTCGTGTAGGATCGTTCCAACTCGGCGAAAGCAGTCATCTTGCTGTAGATTAAGCACTTGCCGACCTCCAACGCGTCCAACCGTCGACCAGCAGCCATTCGAAGATCTCTCGATCGACACGTAATCTCTTTGGTTAACTCTCGGAACGAATCGAATGCAGGTCTTCTGTCGAAATATTTTGAACGCATTTTTAATCATTTGCACCTCACCATTACCTACCGAGGAAAACTTGAATTACCATTGTCACGAAACATTCTTGTGCACTTACCAAAGTCGTCACTAATTTTATACGGCACAATCGCGTTTTTCCATTTTTTACTTTTGAACTTCACAGCATTTTTCGCGACCACGGGCTGATAGAGATCACCTTGCACAAAAGGTCCCATCTCTTCCGGATTCATGCCCCCATCTTCGATCGAAGACCACTCTTCCAACAACTTTAAGGTATCGTTCCTTTCCTCTATGCGATACATTTCCTCACCCAACTGGGAAAAATCCAAATCAAATGGTTCGTCCTCATCGCCAATGGGAGCACAAAAGACACCAGCAGGAATGAACAGTAACAATAAGCTAACCAACATCCTTCTACGGAGAACTGTAGTGTCGCTCTGCCTTAATTGATGGCACACATAAGAACTTCGATCGAACAATCATCTCTATTAGCCCGAAGGAAATTCTGGGGGGATCGCGCTTGTCGTCGGCGTCGAGGTAACACATAAATGACGATAAAAGGTTCAATTAAATAAATTTGATTACACACCGGCGGTGGATGGTACAGAGCATTGTAATAACATAATGGCACCCGACTGGGGGCGAAGATGGAGATCTAGGTCAGTGTTAACATCTGTGATGCAACGTTGTGATAGCACAGCAGCAGTGAAGTGTAGATAGGTGCCTACATATACGCTTTTCGATAGCGCTTGTTTATAAACAAATTAGGATTGTTTAATTTAACATCTGTTCATTGAGGTGAGTAGATAGAATATTAAAGGGGACCTGAATAACAAATTTGAAACATTTATTTAAGGCGATTCCTTGTAGCGCCTTTTTTCGCATTGCATTTAGCAATTTCTCAAGTTAAAATATTAAGATTTTTGTGAATGCATGTAGGGGAAAAGTTGGCTTCGGCAATACCTTAACCTATTATCGTCAGGGGGTAAACAACGTCCTTGAGAGCTCAATTTTGGCATGTAGATACATTGTGTTTCAGAGCAACTATTGGCCAAATTTGAGTGCTCTAGGACTTTGTTTACCCCCTGACGATAATAGGTTAAGGTATTGCCGAAGCCAACATTTCCCGTAGCTGAATTTCTGCGAAGAACCAAGCATTGTCTGAAATTCATAGATTAACAAGCCTCGTAAGTCTTGAGATTAGTGCTCTTGAAATTTCGAAGTGTGATAAGAAAAAGAACTCTACAAGAAAACACCGTACACAGCAAAAAAAAATTCACATCAAAGTGGATGCACTTCAATTGTGTCAAAAATAGGGGGCAACCCCGGCGTAGTGGTTAGAATCCATACTTCTCACGCCAAAGTCACGAGTTGAAACCTCACCCCCAGACAAGTCACGAATGACCCAAGAGCGTTAAAGTGACTATAATAATAAAAAAAAAGTGTCAAAAATATGGTGTAATATTACTTGCCAAAAGAACACATTCACATTCGAAGTTTTTCATTTGCACCGAATTTTTGCTTGACACCTCATTCGTGTGCATCCTCCGGAAGGCAGAACGCCAGCACCAAGAAAAGAAAAAAATACCCGGTAAAACTCTTCTTGGGACTTTATCACCAATCACCAGCACCAAAAACAAGCTCCGTATTATAATTAAGTGATTCAGTGCTTTTCGAAATGATTCCAAACATTGCTGATGTCATTCAGATCCTTCCAAAGTGATTATGAACCTTTCTAAATTGAGTCAGTTTATTCCGATGGGATTCCTAACTTTTCTGGGGTGATTCAGTGCTTTCCGAAGGGATTCAAAGTTGTTTTAAAGTAATTTTCAGCACTTGCTGAAGAGATTTCGAACTTTTCTGAAGTGATTCAGTTCTTTTTTTTAAATTGTTAATTTATTTGATAAGGTTCAATCAAATTAATTTTACAGAGCCGATGATTCTTGTTTACTATACAATTCATTTTTAAACAAGATCCAGAAATAAAAACTAATGGCGCTGCAGAATAATGAGGTAACTTCTACAATGTACTGTAATTTGTACAATAATACTCATATTAGTCATATTACTTTAAACAATCGTCACGTCGGTCATAGCTTGTTATGAATGCCTGAACAATGCGTAAAGAGCAAATCGAAACATTGAACGTCGCGTGATAGTGGAATTTAATCAAGGCTTAAATACTTTTTCGTAGCCTTTTGTTTTCGGATTTGAAAGATCGTCGGTTGCAGTGGCTTGCTTACTGAGCAGAAAAACGCGGTCCCATGCCCTATCATATTAAAAATGTATGGTAAGATCGCTTGTTTATCTTGTATTTTGCTAAACCTTTCGTTGTCGTCGGGGCCGGGTTTGAATAGTTATAACAACTTGTGTAACGGTATGATGTGATATGAGGGGCTCGGTGGCCTTAGAGCAACCGTTTTTGCTTACTGAGCAGAACATCCTGAGTCTAATCTCAAGCCCATCCATATCAAGATTCGTCAATCGTTTTATTTCTTAATATGACTACATGGTAATAACAGCAACTCGATGATTATAAAGGAGATCGTTTGGCTAGTAGCAAACGTTTTTGCTTACTGAGCAGAAGACCGTGGGTTCAATCCCAAGCTCCATCGCGTTATACGATCGTTAGGAGATCAATTCAGCTTATAGTTTACCAAAACGAACCCTACTGCAAACCCAACCCTCTTACCAAACATCCCTGTGATTCCTCGTGGAAGTGCAGAGGACTCCTCGGCTTCCATCAAAGCGAGTGTCACGTCAGCACATTCCTACCCATTCCTTTCTTGACCTGCGTTCAGGCGCGGCTGGCGCTGGTATTGCCTAATTCGAGATCACCAGTTTTTCCACATTGAGGGTGATTGCTAGTCCCAAGCATCGTCTATTGGTTCTCTGTGTAATTACAGCTGGTCTGGAAATAACAGAGTAGCAACCGTTGGCGGTCAATCATGCTCATGCTCAATCACCAGCACCAAAAACAAGCGGGGAGAATCACCCCGGTGAAGACTTTGGTTGTTAGTTTGTTGCATACTTCTTCTTCTTCTTCGCATTTCAAGCTTATTGCATATCGCATATTAGCTTATTGCGTGCTCTCAACTTAGAGCAACCGTACCAATGAGTAAATAACGCACATTTACCAACCTCTACCATAACGCTACTTGCGTACCGGAGGTTGCTATGCAGGTGGGGGAAATAGCAATCCGCACCGTGGGAAGTAGTGAGTTCATAAATTTAGCAACCCGGTAGCAACGCATCAGACGGTTGCTATTTTGAATAAACGTCAAAAGTTTGTTTTGCCGTTGTGGAAAACGGTAACTTAAATTATGACTCTGATAGCAACGACCGGTGTGGAGAGGAGTGATCAAGCCAAAATGGAAACGCTGTGCGTAAGTAAAATAGTGCGTCAAATGGCAACGACTGGTACGGTTGCTCTTAGTGTTCTAGATGCAGTTTCACAGTTATTAATTGAGAGCTTTCGATGCCTGTATCATTTTTGCATTGGTATAATTGTGTGGTAAGTCCAATCATACTTCTATGCCCAGGTATGTCGAGACATTTTCTAACCCGAAAAATTCCTAGACCGGACCGGAAATCGAACCCAGCCACCACGCTGGGCTTTGTAGCTGCGCCTTTACCGACTGAGCTAAGGGAGGCCTCAGTTGTTGCATACAAAGATTTTATAAAGTTTACTTTTTATATTAACGTCTATACTGAGGTATGGAGGTCCAGCCTGGGTTGCAGAGTTGGAAACGAAGCAGAACCAAAGGAAACCGAGTAGTTCGTTATCGCCGGTATGATCCCTATCGGCATCACCCTGGCGGAGGACAGCGAGTGGTACAGGTGGAAATAAACCGGAAGAGTACGGAAAGCTGTGAGAGCGGAGTTGTTGGCTAAGTGGCAACAGGAGTGGAACACGGCCGAGAACGGTTCAAGTTGAATACCGTGTCCACTTTGAATGTTTTTCCAATTGCCCTGCAAAGCACAAAATTCACAACCACCTTTTCGGTACCGTCGTCAAACCGCACTTTTTTCTTTGTGAAAAAGTCCCCTCACGTCAAGCTCTGCCGGAATCTTTGGAGAAACAATAACGCATTTGCACTGCCATCTTTCTCACGGAAGTGATTGTATAAACCGAAAAACAGTGAACTGTCAACTCTCTCACTCTCTCGTGCTGTGTCTAACAATCTCTCCAGTGGTGCCACGAAAAATCTCCGAGGAGACAAGCAGAGATTCACCGCAGAGAATGATATCTCTCGCACCCGGGTGATTCTCCCCAGAGAATTTTCAACCCTGAATAGAAGTAAAGTCTCAAACTGAAATAACTTCGGAGTTTCTTATCTTATCGATTTGGTATGTTCATATTTGCTCAATGGTGGGGGGGGGTGTACTCTATAAGAAGTTTTAAACGAAAATTTTTGTAGTGTAAATATTTAATGTCACTTGTCAGTTCATTTGTTAGTGAGGAGATGTTGTTTGAATTATTAGTCCAGCTGCTATATTATTTCTATATAAAGCTTTTATTTGAAATATTAAACTGCCATTCGGGCCACCCGCATATTTAAAATTCAGAAGTAGTACGTCAAAAACAAAAAATAGTAGAAAACGGAAACTGTCTTCACCAGTTTCGTCTCAGACACAGGTACAGTCGGATGTCGCTTGTTGGGCTAACTTTAAGTGGGCTACGTTTCAGTTGGGCTCCCAAGTCGAACGTCATTTCTAACAGTGCTGATTCCTTTTCAAAAATTCGACCGGCTTCATGCAAAAACCGGCAAACGAGTGAAGTAATGATACAGATTATTTCAATGCAATTGAGTTGCTTCCTTGATGGTTGTCAACGATATGGCTGAATGAGGTGTGAAACTAATTTCTGACTTATCAAGAAATTCACCCGATACCTAGTTCAACAGCAGGGTGGCCAGATACTTTTTTTCACTATCGGTAGCTTCTCAAAACGTTTATCGGTAGTTATCGGTAGGCCGTCTTAAGAAGGTTTTCCCGATACTTGAAACCTTTGTGAGCGGGGGGGGGGGGGGTACTCTGCTCCAGAAAAATACACTGTCCTTCAGTTATTCTGCTTTAAACTTGTCGAAATCAATATTTATAATTCTAATGCTAGTTCTGACTACACGGAAAACAAAACATTGGTATTGAAAAATTTTCAAGATTACAAAAAATCTGTGATTCTCGGTAGGAAAAGTGAAAAATCGGTAGTTTTTAACCCTTCGTCTGTGAATCGGTAGGAATCCCGAAAATCGGTAGGACTACCGATAAATCGGTAGGTCTGGCCACCCTGTTCAACAGTAATATTTGCTTCAGGGGATGGAACAGCATCGAAAAGAGTACCTTGTGAAATCGTTGAATATAATAAAATGAAATATAATCCACTGGCGTACACAGGGTGGGCAATTGC